ACAATTTTATTTTTTACTTTGCGTTTTTGATGATTTTTTTTTTAATAGCTCTGTAAAACTATTTTGAGTTTTTACTTTGCGTTTTTGATGATTTTTTTTTTAATAGCTCTGTAAAACTATTTTGAGTTTTTACTTTGCGTTTTTGATGATTTTTTTTTAATAGCTCTGTAAAACAATTTTATTTTTTTACTTTGCGTTTTTGATGATTTTGTTTTTTAATATCTCTGTAAAACAATTTTATTTTTTTACTGTATACATATTTTAACCAGCGAAAGATTCCCGCGAACCGCGAACGAAACGCTTAAAACAAAATGGAAAACCAGAGATATTAGCCTCGACGAGGGTGATTCATTGTTTCTCAGGACCGTATCGTTCTCTCGGGCGGCCTCGTGTTTTGTCCACCACCCATCTCTCGAGGTCCTACGGCGGTGACTCATTCTCTCTCTTCGCGTTTAAGCGTTGTCACCGTCAAATCGATATGCAGGAGACACTATTCTCGTCCGGCCCGACGGGAATATCTCTCGAGTCCGACGTCGCTAAATATAAAGCAACGCGAGAAACGGTAGTCGCGCGGAATTTTTGTTTTAGCGACGTCTCTTCGCGCGCGCGAAGACTTATAGATCGCTTTGCTCTCGGAGATTGGAGACGGCGGCGTTTCGTTGCGCAAGTTCGATGACACCGAATTTGCTTCGAGATATACGCGAGACGCCGTAAAAAACCGAACGATGATAATAAAAAAATTTATATCAATAACGAGATGATAAAAGAAACGAAATTAATTACACGTTCCGATCGTCCGGCGAGTTAGGACAAGAAAAATTATTTGTTTTTCTAAAAAAAAAAAAACAAATTTCTTACGATTCGCTGGAAGAAAAGAAGGTTTTGTTTCGAAATACAAGCGATATAAAGGCATTCGATGTTTAGATTTTCGAATTGAAATTTTAATTAATTTACACGTTGAACAAAATCTCGCACGTGTGCGTCCGGCGTTTGTCTCTTTTTTATTGGCTTCAAAAAAAAAATTTCTCTCGTACAGTTTTCCTAAAAAAAAGTATCGCGCGCGCCGATCGGTGACGACCGCTGTCCGGAATGAAACGAACTTCCAAATAGAAATCGTACGAAGCAACAAGAGACAAAGCGCCGTGCGGTTGAACGCAAAGTGGACATTGTTTTTTTTTTTTCCCGCCAACGCCATGGGATAAGATACTCGGGCGCTTTTATCGCGTGGCCGATAAACGGGGGGGGGGCGGGGGGGGACGAGCCCGTTTTTCCCGGTTATCAATATAAGCCAAGGAAAATATAATCACGCTTCTGTCTCGTGAACGCGTGAAAACAGCTCGGCGCGCGCGCGCGTGCGCAACATGAAAAAAAACAAATTTTATACACGCGCGTGATCGCGCGGGATGAAGACAATTTATATCGCGAGGGATACGGAAATTAAGGAAGATGCTCCGAATTGAGTTGTGTTTTTTTTCTTCTCGATATTTCGCCGACGGCAAAATAACTCCGGGATCGTGCGCGCGCGCGCGCGCAAATTGAGAGAGTGAATCTTCGCGAGGATGTAACGCGCGCCGCGACCTCCTTTTCACGGCGCTGTGAGCCCGAGAGAAGTGTAAAAAAAAAAAAAACCTCCGGTTTAACTTCGGAACGTTTCTCTCTGATCTCTTGCTGACTTTGCTTGTGCAAACCCCCCGTTCCGAGAGAAACGGAAGAGAGAATTCTTCCCCCCCCTCCTACCCCGATAACGCGAGTTGTTATCGGACACGTTGTTAACACGTTCCGTCTCTCACGTGGATTACCACGTTGACTTCTCCTGTGGACTTTGTGATATTTGATCTTCGTTTTTGAGCTTCGAACAAAAATTATATCGCGTCTGTCACAAATTTTTTTATATACTTTGCGCGCTACCGTTTTCTTTTGTTAATTAACGACACTTGCATTCTGGGTAGAAAAAAATCAAAATTTTTAACTTTTCTGTGTCGCGGAAAAAAAAAACGGGAAATTAAAGTCGGGAGATGACGAAAGAGCCGTCGGCGTCTCCGCCGCGCTCTTGGAGATATCGGTTTTGCTTAAAGTCAGGTTGGGATGAGAGGGTGCGCGCGCGTTTGTCACTTTATGCGTTCGTCCGGGGATATATTTACCGCGACGTTTCGGCGGAAATAGCGACCGAAGGAGAACAAAGTGAGAGCAGCGCGTATGCACGGAGAGCGGTGTGCAGAACCGTGAGAAAGAAGAAGGCGGCGGCGAGGTCGGGGGCTTGTGTACAAAGACGGCCGTAATCGGATGCGCTTATAGTTCAAGGACGTCTTAGATCATCCGCGGATTAGCCGCAACGAGCGAGCGAGCGAGCGAACAAGCGAACAAGAGAGGTGCATCGATCCGCTTTCACGAGCGTTTTTTTGTTCACGTCTACGCCAAGTCTTCGCGAAAAAGAATAGCGAGCGCACTTTCCTAGCGCGCTTTCCGCCTTGGAGGAAACGAAGGCTCAAGTGTCCACTCCGAACCGTGTCAGTTTTCTCCTTCCCTCCCCGTTACAGAGGAGTGACTCGTCCCTAGGTAGCAAGTTACCTCAAGTTGTCTGTCAATTAATTGAAACGCGAATTAATTAAATTATTCAACAAAGAGCGAGCGCGTGACATATTTGCGAGCGAAGTTAAGTTCGAATTTGTAAGCTGGTTTTTTTTTTTTTTTTTTTTTTAATTCGCCGGAAGTTTGCGGAAACGTCCGTTGCGATCCCGCGAGAGTAAATGTCACAGATGTGTTTGATTACAATTAATTTTTTATCATCAATTCGCGAGAACTTTGCCAAGCGGTTTTCAACTTCCGTGACTGAGAATTTGACGAGGAAGCGTGTTGGCAATTTGCTTCGCGTTGTATGTTACAGTTTTATCGGGAGAGAAAAAAAAGATCTCGCGCGTTAGGATTGTTGCGAGCTAACTTGGAACAAAATTAAGGGCTCGTCCATCGTCTTGATTTGCGGGCAGCCATCAATTGCTTGCTGCTCGCACATCAGGATCGATGCGAATTATGGCTCTTATCGTTGATTATCTTCCCTCCTATGTCGGTCGACCCGGTCGGACACGAAAGGGTTAAAGAGTAATTGACTTTGAGACACTTGGCTGTGAAATCTGAGCTGTTGTCCGAGTTGTTGCGTTGTCTGCTGTTTGCCGTTTCCAAGAAAAAAACATCTCGCACGTGTGTCGCACACGGTTGATTTCTTCAATATCTCTCCCGTCATATTCGACCGGTGCGAATTTTTTTCACGCGCGTTTCGATTTTCACTCGAAGCAGCAGGTTTTTGTTTTTTTTTTCCGCAAAGCGGAAATTTCCTCTCGAAACAAACACGACGACGAGGAAAAAATTACCAGCGACTCGACCATCGTCACAGCCAAGTTTCACAAAAGTGTACAAAAAAAAACAATTTCAATATCCAGATTTAAAAAAAAATAATAATAATTTCAATATGTTACATGTCTTCCCTTTAATTTTGTTTCCGATTTGTTTCGCGATATCTCGGCACGCGAATCATTCCGTCGAGTTTTTTTTTTTTCACTCGGTTTACGACGCGTTGCACCACAACACAATTGCGCGAAACGATCTTAAGTGAGAACGTCGCGATTTTTCGAGCAACGCGCGACACGTCGTCGTTTCGTAGTAATCGTCAGATATTTGAGCGCGATGCGCGAAATTGCGCACAGATCTCTCCCGCATTCACGCAGTGAATTGAAAAAAGCGTTCGCGCGGATTCGTCGGCAATCCGCGCGTGCGAAAATTAGATGCGCGTGGATATTTTTCGTGGAATTCGCGCGATAACACGCGACTTGCGTTCCGAATAAGAAGCACGGAGGAGAGCTTCTTATCCGTGAGCCAGAAACTCCTCGGCGCAGTTTTTCGGTCATCGAAGCGTCGCCGTGTGAAAAAGAAGTCTCGATATGAGAGATCTCTCGATTTCTCGTCTCTTATGAAAGTCTCTCTCGAAATGACGTCCGCGCAATATCGGCGCGGAAGTCGCCGAATCTCTTCCGGCGACCTTGAAATATCTCAGAGATCGCGTCGCCGATAATCTCGCTATCGATTGTTCGAAGTGTAATCATCGATTCGTTTTTTGCGTGTTTTTTTTTATCGCGCGACGAACGACGTCTCGTTAAAACGCGAGATCGCGAATTTTGATTATTAAAAAGTTTTTTTTTTTTTCAATTAATTAAAGCGGGAGAGAGGCAGGCGGAGATGACGAAGCTTCTCTTCGTCATCCCCGGGCTCTGAGGTTAAACATTCGTTAAGTCAACTCGGAGATTTAGTTTTCGCGCGCGCGCGTGCGTGCGTGCGTGGTTCTAAAAATATACACAAATTTCACGATCTGATAAATGGAGAAGCGGAGTAATAAATCCGCGCGCGCGTGGAGAATTTCCCGGCGCGCATCGAATCGTGAATGAGAGGCGCTTCTCTGGCGCGCGGACGCTTATATATTTGCACATCCGCGATTCGGAATCATCCACCGGAATAAAGCAGACAGAAATGTGTGGCGTTTCTTTAAATGTCTGTGCTAACAACACGTGCGTTTGTTCTGTGTGTTGTATGCAACGTGTGAATGACGAGAGATTGATTGATTGCTTTATTTATTATGCGCTCTGGGAAAGATTTCCCCTCAAGCGCAAACAATACAAAAGATTATAAGAGTGCACATAAATATATAAACTAATAACAAAGATAAGGAAAAAAAAAAAGAAAACTAGTAAATATAAATGTAAATGAAATAAAAATAAAAGTAAAATAAAAATAAAGATAAAAACAAAAATCAAAATAAGAAATAAAATAAAAACCAAAAAGTATAAATGAAAATACAATTAAAATATAAAATAAAAGAACAATTTATAATTAGAGACCACCGAAGTAGCTCCAAAAATAATAACAATAGAGATTATAATAGATAGAGAGAGAGAGACGATGGTTTTCACATTCGCGGGGTTCGTTGCGGGAGATCTGCTGTTCGTTTAATCAACATTCTGTAACACATTCAGTGATGTAATAACAGATAACATCGTAAACATGTTGGTTGTTGCGCTTCGCTGATCAATGATGCGGAAATAACTGATCTCTCTGTCTCTCTCTCCATCTCTCTTTCTCCAACAGTAAAAGTTCCTCTCTCTCTCTCTCTCTTGTTAACAAAAAATTTCTATTTCTAAAACGTATAATTTTCTATAACGTTTTAGTTTTCAAAATCTTTATTTTCAAACGCTTTTCGCACAATTGAAACTTTTTTTAAACAACGAAACTTACTTGAGAAATCCGCTCTCTTTCTTCTCTGTCCGTTTAAATAACGGTGAAATTAAAACGCAACGGACTCTTGAGCAAAAAGCTGTGACAGAGATTGCCGGGATTATGTAATAATTACGGCGTTGCGCGACAGAGAGGAAAGCCGCCCCCAGCCGGTTTCCCGACTTTCCTCAGGATTTGTGTGTACACATTGCGGAAGAGCGTTAAAAAGCGTAATATCATCATATCGTCGCGTAAAATGTCACCATACTATTATACATCCTTACTAAGACCGTTGTGTTTTTCTCTGTGTTTGTTTCAGGTAAGTAAAGATGAGCTCGCGAAATTAGTGCAAAGCTTCGAGGAACAAGACATCCTGACGTCGTCGGGCGTAACCTTAGCCGGGAACAGGTACATTTACCTGTCGGGCACCGACCGCGTGATAAGGGCAAAACTCGGCAAAGTCGGCGTCCACTGCATGAAGACGACGCAGGCCGTAGTTGTCTCCCTATACGAGGACCCCATACAGCCACAACAGGCCGCGTCTGTCGTCGAAAAACTTGGCGAATACCTCGTGTCCTGCGGCTATTAGGTCAGTATGTTATATATATTACATAAAAAAAATCCATAAACAAAAAAAACTTTTCCGAGGCGAAGAGTGCCACCGTGTGTGCCGAGAAAATTAGGAAATTGTTTAAGTTCGTAAACGGGCGAAGCGAAAAACGGAAAAAAACGCGCGGCTTCCCGACAAATGAATTTCGAGAGAGAAAGAGAAAAAATCGTTTTCATCTTGTCTCAGAGAGAGAGAGAGTTTACGGTCGTTCTTCAACTTCCCCCCGGGGGGAAGTTCTAATTTCCAGAGCGGTCGCCGCTTTAATCCCCGCGCGCCTGCTTTAAAATTCATTCCCGCGAGAGAAGAACTTTTGAGTTTACCGCTGACAAACTTTCCGACTCCTCTCTCTCTCTCTCTCTCTCTCTCTTTCCTTTCCTCCCGCGTGTTTGCTCAATGAGATTTAATTAGTTTCGCGCGAAATACGGGCGAAAGCTGCGCGAAAAAAATTATCTGTGCCCGAAAAATGCGGAGAAGAAAAGATACTTACTTCTCTTTTCGAAAACTTTTTGAACACCTGTTTCCCAATCGATCTCCGTCGGTTTTTTTTTTAATACTTGCGCGTGTGAAATCGAGCGCGCGAGTACGTGGTATAAGCGCAAACGGGTGTTGTCGATGGTTGGCGGCGTCGGATTTAACGCGCTTGGCGTTTATTCACAGACTCTTCCCCTCGCTTCGATTTAACCAACGAGTCTCTCCTCCCTCCCACGTCCGCCGTTACGCGCTTATCATTATCGGCTTGTCACTCAATACACCCGTCCGTGCCGCGAACGTACACCACTACTCCCCTCGTGACGGGAGAGAAAACGCGCGCGCGCGCACGCCGCGCTATTGTGTGCCGCCGCCGCTTCTCCGTGCGACTGCGAAAAACAGACTCCTTGTCTAGCCGCGGGTCGTTCGCCTCGAGCCTTCGCGCAAATTGCAGCGAGATGAAAAAAGAAAGAAAGAAAAAAAAAACAATACGTACCCGGAAAAATCATCCGATGAATTTTTCTTCTTGAGATAAAACTACGTCGAGATTAGATTCGAGATTCGATTGGATCATCTTTCGTCCGGTAACAAAGTTTAGTGTGAGATAACGTTCCGGTTCGCTGCGTGGAGAAGCTATTTTGTTACATCTGAATTTCGTTATCAATGGGAAAAAAAAAAAACAACGACGAGATGATATGATGTTTGTTTAATGACTTAAGCTTCGACTATTCCGCAGACGTTGACTCTAAGAATCTGAAAAAAAATTGATTATCGACGATTGTTATGTAAGATCGAAGAGACGCGTTACATGTAAATATTCAATGGCAATTTTTAATCAACATGTGTTTCTATTTTTGCGTATAAATCGTAGACGTGCGTGATTGTAATGAGATTGTACATACAAGCGGTCACGTTTCTTTAGCGCGCAATCCTCTAGGTAGGTAAAAACCGAGAAAAAATTCTAACGGAGTGTGAAACCGATTTTGCTCGGTTGTTTCACGAGAAATTCGTGCGATTCCCAACAAAGCGAGGCGCTTTGTCATCGCAGACGTTGCTCTTGTATCACGAAACCCCCCCCCCCCCCCCCCGATGTACAAGAAGTCGTCTGCGCAACATCGAACGATTATATTCAACGAATCCGTCGAAAACGGAAAATCGGTGTTCGCGTGTGCCGTTGGCTTGGGATGTGTGTTTTGCAAACGCGAGTTGCAAATTAAATCGCAAATTAGCGCACGCTACCGCCCCTCGAATTGTTGTTTCTCATTTTATATTCGCTCTACGAGCAATTTTCTCGTTTCAACGCAACTTAATCGGATTAAAAATCACTTTTCGAGCGAATTTACGCGATAAAAAAAATATACATACATAATCGCGCAAGGAAATATATATTGCGAAGATTTATAAATAACAAACTTGATCATCGCAGAAAATAAAAAAATTGTTAGAAAAAATTACGCAAACAAATCTCTCCGTGTGTCTCAACGTTTTGTTAAGAGAGTCAGAATTTTTTGTGCAATTTTTTTATTTTATTAATGAGACGCGTAATTTATGTCCGTACGTAAGCGCGCAAATCATTGATTCATCATCAATGGGAACGCGCGAAGTGATTTCACCGCGAAGTTCAGCGATTCTTGATTTTTCCGAACGGTACGAAGCAGCACGAACGAAATAGTACGCAGCTCTCTGAGGCCGGCGTGACTCACCGCGGATAATTCTCCGGACGAGCTTTGATATCGGCGATGACTAATCACGCGCGCCTGTGACCGTATAATCACATTCGAGGTAGCGATAATTACGACAAACATTTCTCTGCGAAAATAGGAATAGGAGAGACGAGATGTGTCGCGGACATATTTCTCGCTCGGGGGTGTCGATTCTCTGGAAAAAAATCTGGAACACAAAGCCTGGAACTTCTCCTGTGGGAAAAAGTTACCTTTCGTCGGAAAGAAGCGAGCGCAATATCGTGTTTTGTTGGAAATTTCTTCTCTTCCGCCATCGTGTATAGAATAAATTCGACCGAGAAGCAAGAGCAACAATTGACTTCAAAATTAGCTTTCGATCCTCTCTCTCGGACAATTCGGAACGTGACGCGGAAACTGGATTTTTTTTTGCAGACTCCGAGAGAGAGTAGACACCCCTGCGGAGGACACACGACGTTCGACTTGTTTTTTTTTTTTTGTAGATCTGATGGATCGTCGCGCACAGCCGATCTAACCTGCGCCCTTAACCCTGCTTTCTGTTACAGTAAACCTCTGGGGGACCCAACACAAAATATCTAATATTAATGATAAACGATACGGTCGATTATTTTAATGAAAAACAGCGAAATGGAATGCGCCATTGTGCCGCACGAGTCGCGCCGGAACTGCCGCAAGCCCTGCCGCGCGACCTACGATGAAGATGCAACAACAACAACAACAACAGCTACAGCAACAACAAAAAAACACACAGCGTCGACAACAACACAGCAACCAAGTTTCAATTAACTGCTCCGAGAGAGTTCATCATTCTCTCATCTTCGACCTTTCTTTTTTTTTGTTTCTTAAGACGCGACTCCGAACACGCGCGCGTACACGCGTAATAATCCAATACGTAAACAACAACGACGCGTCCTCTCCCTCCTTTTTTTCTCCGCTCCGTTCCTCCTCTCGTGCACACACGCACGCACGCGGAAGCGTTTCCCTCCTCGCGACCTCTCAACACCTTCCCCTCTTCTCGAGACGAGACACATCGTACTTAAACGTAGGTACAATCTTTTTCGTGTGAAAATTCTTCGCGTCAAGATGAGACGCGCGCGGCGAGAAATTAACGATGCATCGATGTGTGCGCGCGTATCCGATGCCCGCACAAGTTACACACAACTGCTCTCTATATCTCGCTCCCGATCCGAATCGGTGCACGAAACCAACGCAACAAAACGCCGCGCGTGTTCTCCTCCTCGCGCGCGAGTTACACGCCGTCGACGACGATGGAACCGATCGATCGATCGATCGATCGAGCAACAACCGGATATCAATATCGCGTAAGTCGGCGTAGACGGGCGTCAAATGTCTGCGCGCGTGTCACATCGGAGTGATTCAACGTTTGCGATTGGGAAAAAAAAAAAAAAAAAAAAAAAANGACAAACGTGGTCGTCGACAAAAAAAAAACACACGTGAGCGCTATGAGTTTTTTCTTGCAGCACAACTTAGAATAAATTATTCTTTTCTTCCTCGTTAGAAAGGTGTGCGCAAAAGTGTAAGCCGCGACAAACTGTAAAAAAAGTGTAAATGTGTGCAAAAAAAATGTAAAAATTTACACGGAAAAAAACAAATATTACACAATTGGTAACGAAAATGTGCAAAATCGTGTAAATTTCCGTTAGCAATACGTGAGTAATATTTTGTGTAAGATTGCAATTCGCGACGCGTGTAATACCACGCATATGTGTCGAGCAATTGGTCAGCATTTTGATTGCGCGCGTGCTCTTTCAGTAATTTTTTTTTTTTTTTTTTTTTTTTCGTTCGACGGAAAAGAATAATCACTTCGTTTGAAGACGAACGCGTGACGGAAGCGACAGATGATTTTTGTTTTTTTTTTTTTGTCTCCGTATCGCATTACTTTACAACATCCGCCTTGTCGAGCAACGGCTTCGCGTGCGAAAATTCCGCGAACGATCGAGCGATCGATCAACGGATGATGATGTGAGGAGGAAGAACGAAGAGAGAGAAAATGTTGAAAGCGATGGAGAGAGAAAGAGGAAAAAAGAGAAAGTGAGAGAGAGAGAGAGAAATCGCGACACTTTTTGTAACCGCCAAAACGCGGCGTGACGGAGAAACGAAACCACACATACACATATGAATTAAGTATAAGAAGTAATGATAATAAATAATAATAAACTATTGTGTGTTAGGCTTACATTCTTTTTCGTAAAGCGCGAAAAAGCGAGCGAGAGAAAGAGAGAGAGAGAAAGAAAGAAAGAAAGAATGAGGAATGTTGTGTGGAATGTCGAATGCTGCTAGAAACTTGTAAGACAGGGAGAGAAAGAAAGAATGTGTGAGGGAGTGAAAGTATAAAACGAGAGAAGGAGAGAGAGTGTGTGCGAGAGAAAGAGAGAGAGAGATAGAGAGAGAGAGAAAGAGATCGAGCGAATGATTGCGGGTAAGTGAACGGAAAACAATCTGAGAGAGAGACTTGAAACTGATAGCGAGATAAAAGAAGAAGTCAAGGAATGAAGGGAACGAGAAATGAGCGAGCGAGCGAGCGAGTGTGCGCGTGTATGTGAGGGAGAAAGTAAGAAAGAAAGGGAAGCGAGAAGGTAGCGGAGGTATAATGATGGCGATAATAATAACGATGATGATGGTGATGTTGATGATAAAAGATAATGACAAAATGCGGGCGAGCATGCGGCAGCGGGTGATACGGCACGGATTGGCCGCAATCCTGGCCGCCTCTCCCCCATCCCCCTAAGAATCGATACGGTCCTTTTAGCTATTTACTGTCTTTATTATTGCTATATGTAAGAAGAATAAAAACAAAACAGCGAACGATGTGTCATAAACTGCTGAGATTTTTATCGACGGAAGAAAGAGAGATAAAAAGCGAGAGAGAGAGAGATAAAAAGAGAGAGAGAGAATTAAAAAAAAAAAAAAAAAAAAAAAAAAAAAACGACAAACGTGGTCGTCGACAAAAAAAAAACACACGTGAGCGCTATGAGTTTTTTCTTGCAGCACAACTT